AATAAAACTGTCAAACTGACCACGTGAATTCAGAGAAGCGTAGATCCATCCAGCTTTTATCTCAAATAACAACTTAAAAGAGACTGTTTGACCAACACAAGGAATGTTACATATTCATGTGAAAAAGATAAAAAAAACAAAAAAAAAACAAAAACAAATGAAAACTACAGACAAAAGTTCATTTTCTCCATCAAGACATTCATTTCTGTAATTTACTGTACCGGCAAGCAGAAATATTTCTTCTCCTGATGATGGCCATTTTGGCCGAAACTAGTCGTAGAATCTTAATGAAATAATAATAATAAAAACGAAAGAATATTAATTTACAACCCAGTGTGTCTGAATACTTTAATTTTTTAATATTTTTTATTGTTCACTATATATATATATATATATATTAGAGAAATCCGAATGAGTCGTGGAACACTGAATGTCTGCAGGGGACCCTGAAACGTGGAAGGATTGGAATAATAGTGTGGGGTGTTGCCTGGTCTTGAAGGAGATCTGAGCTGATTCTTGCTGACGAGGGTTTGAATGGTCCAAAATACTGTCAAATATTAAAGGATTACTCCCACTATTTGAAACCAATCAGATTGGCAAGAATGTCTACCCTTTTCAAGAAGATGGAGAGCCATGTCATATGAATAAAGCAGCAAAGGCCTGGAAGGAATCGCAAGGAATCAAGTCACTGCCACTGGTAGCCCAAATTCTTGACATGAATCCAATAGAGCAAGTTTGGGAGCACCTTTACCGAAAACTCCGAGAGCGTGCAACTAAAATCACGTCATTGGCAACCCTTAAAGAAACATTGCTAAAAAAGTGGCAAAATATGGATCAGACGATTGATGATAACTTGATCAAATCCATGAAAAATCGAATACAAACACTGAAACTAGCAAATGGAGGATCTACTCCATACTAGTTCCAAATACTGTTTATTTATGTTGAGTTGGGATTACGTAATTAAATTTTGAAATTGGATGTAGTTTATTTCTACTGGTTAAAAACTTTTCTTAGGTCACTGTACCTAGACAGATTCCTTTCTTACGACACCAAAGCGGGCATCGATACATCCTTCGCTAGACTAGCAGAAATATTTATGATAACCTCACCATTGTAAACATTCTTCGATATGGTGCCAAATCCTATGTCATATACAAACTTTCGTCTATAAGATCGCTTCTATCATTTTTTCCATAATATTACATTGCAGATGTTATAATATGTTTCAAATTAGATATCTTCTGATTCACTCTACATGTCGGCCGCATGCGAACGTCAAGAAAGCAAAACCAAAAATAAAAATGTCATCCTGTGCGCAAGGGCCTTGAGCATAACATCCGGCACACAAGACAAATTTCCTCAAAAAATATGAAATACAAATACAATATAAAAAAAGCCAATCACGGATATTGCTGCCAAAGAAAAAACATGAATAAAAGTTGAATTTATGACACCGCATTTACTTTTTAAAACGTCGCACTGAAACAGAATCACGGCGCACTGTCCAGATGTTGACGCACGGTGACTTCGGTCAACCGACCCAATAAATACATCAACTCAAGTTACTACTAACTCTACTCCTCCTCCAAGTTGCTTTCCTTGCCCACAGAGAGACAATCCACTCACATGCTCTGTAACGGTAGTACAAAGTATTTTATACTGGTAATTTTTGTTTTCTTTTGTTTTTGGCTCGCCGGTGGTATTTGATGTTTCATTATTCTTTCGTGCTACCATAGGCGTGTTTATGACAAACATATATCTTTATTATCATAGAGGATTTATACTAGGTTTGGTTGGTTAATTTAATTCCAATTCTTGTTGGGTTATTTATTGTCGACCACGAAACTCACAGGATAGAAAACACAATGGTTCATAAAGGTTCAGTTTACATGGGAGTTAAAATATAGACATTCGTCGGGTTTATGTCGAAGTCTACGAGTATTTCACCGGAAAGTGAGCCCCCTTTTTTTAAAAACGAGACTGGGTCCATACTCTACTTCGTAATCTAAAACTCGCCGATACAGCCAGAAGTTCTAAACTCAGGGCCACAATCTGTACCGCAAAAGATGATGGGTTACCTACACGGCATGTATAAACGATTATTCTCTTCTTGCGACATATATATATATATATTGGATTTTAAAATTAAATACACATAAACTAGGGTTGAATAGGGACTTAGGTGTTTTAAATCTTTATAAATATTTCAATAGTTAAGCAATTTTTTTAGATATAGTAAAAAAAAAAAAATTTTTTAAATATTTATGACAGTTAGATTTAAGTTAGGAATATCCGAACAGTGACGTTCCATATCACGTGACGTCCGCGTCTCGCGAAGGACGCTACTTGCTAACAAACAGTAATTTTAATTTATTTGTAACAAACAGTTATTTCTGATGAAAAATTGAGGACAATTTGAAATATCAAATATATATATAAATAAATAAATACTTTCATAAAATAAAACATTTTAATTTTTAATTTGAAACTTTTTCTATATATACATATTAAGAAAGTATACGTGGCTTCTCATTATGCTATATATATATATATATATATATATATATATATATATATATATATATATATATATATATATATCTGCGTGTGTGTGTGTATGTGTGTGTGTTGTAACCTAGAAAGGGTTACTGAATGAGGAATAACCAAAACGGAGGTTAGAAATGAAATGGTAATCTTTATGACATAAAACAAAATACAATACTCACCAGCGGCGTGAAGTAGGTAAACCACTGCTACTAATGGACTACTTAGCATATTGCCCTCACTTACAAGAGTATTTATGAGGATTGGGACAAACCCATTAGTGTTCATCGGCACGGTATATAACATATATATAAATATATATATATATATATATATAGTGGACTCTCCCGTCGTATTCTACGTATGAGGGTCAGCAACTCAGTTCTTAAGAATCGACAACCAGACACCAGCACATATGATGTGATTATAGTGGTGAAGGCTTTGTGCAAATCCAATCACAATTTGTGAAGAGCTGACTACAGAAACCTGGTGCACCAGCTGCCACAAAGTCTCCTAGACCAGTTGCCATCCAAGGCAATAGAATCCGGTCTGTCCTGCTAAGATGATTCATACCTTTCCCAAGGGTATTAGCACGCCAGTGAATATAATGGATTCCACTGGAATTCGAATATAAAATATCGCACATTCAGTGCTGATGTTAAAAAAATAGTGCTCGATGTTATCTGTTGAGGTTTCTTTCTGACTCAATGAATTATATATAATATATATATATATATATATATATATATATATATATATTTGTGTCAAATAGAAATATTTATTCTGTATCTTTGCTTTTCAATTCTTTGTTCATCACGAGAAACTGCAGCTTAGCTAAGAAACGTACTAATAATTTATTATTTAATCATATAGACAAACACAAAGACCCCATCCATATATATATATATATATATATATATATATATATATATATATATATATATATATATAACACACACACACACATTTTTCTTTCATTTTGTGGTTTGATATAACCTAGAAAAGCGTAACGTGTAATGATATCTAGTTTCAATAAAAAGGTTTTCCATTTGTCAAATTTCTTCAAAACATTGTCAGTCTTCTATATCCTATTTCCTTCATAAACACCCCCCAACATATATATATATATATATATATATATATATATATATATATATATATATATATAATGATTCTTACACTAAAAATTGAGGGTCATAACAATTACGTGTGTTATGATTCAATAGTGACAACAAAGTGTCAAGTAGTTGAACATCTATCTATCTATCTATCTATCTATCTATCTATCTATCTATCTATCTATCTATCTATCTATCTCTATCTCTCTCTCTCTCTCTCTATCTTAGCTAGCTATCTATCCTTCGTTCTGTTTCTTATCTATCTATCTATTTTCGTTTTTTTCTTTGTTTCTCTTTTTTTTTCATTGACTATTCAATCAATCAATTATCTTTTTAAACATTTCGACCTTCACTGAAAGAAACAAATTATCCCCCGATCACTCTCTGGACAGTTTTTAATCCCGCCCACCCCCGCCTAACTCTCTAACTGTCGGTCGCATCCAAATTGCGCAATTTTAAAAGAAGATGAAGCGGATAAAACTTGAATCATTAATCCTAATCACAAATGGCAACGCTCTTCGATCCAACTGAAATAACTTCAGGAACATCGTTGGCTAATTACGGGAACAGGAAAAACTTTATTTGGTTTCGTACAATGTCAGCGGCAAGATTTATTTTGACCCTTTGCTTTTATCATGACACCTTACTCGACAGAATCGGCTCTCATTATATCGCCAGGCGATACTAAGCAGTATACAAAAATATATTTATAAAAAATCAAAGTAAAATTAGGCAGGGATCATCATACAGCTGAGGAAGAGCCAAATCAAATTGATTATTCTTCTAATTAACGAAATCCTGAAAAGGTTCTGCCACAAAATTAGACTCTTGGTTTGTTGATATTAGAATTATGTTGCAGCCCTCAAAGGGTACTCATGAAATGTTGGTTTTATATTAAACTGGAAGTAGAGCGCCTGTATGAAAATGAATTCAGTAGATTTTTAAAATCACTTCACCCGAAGCAAAGACGATAATACCACTCGAACGCATGTGGTTACTGGGAGTGAAAGAGAATGAGAAAAATTTATTAAGGAGAAGCGAGAAGAAAGGCCAATAAAAAACAGAAATCAGGATGACAGAAGATGGTGATTGACGCTGCATTTAATTTTTTGAAGGTTGTATGTGGCAGGGAAGTAAGAAATTGGAAAGGTGTTCCATAAGCGAGAAGTGCGATTATATAAACCATTAGAATAAAAGTGACGGTTAAATATGACTAGTTCAACAATAAAACGATGAGACCTAATTGCCAATCTAGTAGTACGTTTAAATTCATGCAGTCGAGGGACCAAGGACAAAAGCTCACCAGAACAATTGCCATGAAATTATTTGTGGAAAAGACACAAGGAAGCCATGTCATGTCGGTGCGAAAATGACTGAAGTCAACGTACCAGTTCAAGATCATTTGCGTTTCCGACCCTTCTGTGAATTTTGTCAAGAATCTTGAGATGTATAGTAGGAGCAACAGGTAGAGTTTTATTCGGACTCTTTATTGGCGGACAAAATATGAACAATATAAGATGTTGTGGATCACGCGTGAAAAATAGGTATCCAATAAATGACAAACGCAAGTATTTTAAGCTAAGAAATTAAATGTATTTACACAAAATACAAAAGGTAATGCTGTTAGTAAAATCCAGGAACACGGTTAGTAGCAAATACAGATAGATATATACAGTCTCGAAGTAGGACTTCCTTAGAGTCTACGTGCTTGTAACTGACTTCTACAAGAGGTTACTTTACTCCATCCGACATCCTACGACTCCGGTACGACTCATGTACGACTCTTGTACGACTCATGTACGACTCATGTACGACTCATCTTCTCTGTCTGACTGTGGCTATTTTATGGCAGCAGGACGAGTCCATTATATCCGAAAAGGGTGGACCGCATAATATAAGATACGCAGACGAGTTTTGATAACATACACAGAGAGAAAACTGCAGGAACTTCTAGAGAAGGTGATAAAGGAAAGGTGTGAAGAAAGGACTAAACATCAGTTGTAAGAAGATTGTTAGCTAGAGAAAAATCCCAAGGTGCGAACTAAGAATTTGGGGTACGAAAATCAGGTAAGAGGGAAAATTTAAATACCTAGGAAGGTTTTTAACAGTGAACATATAAAGTGACACCGAAATCCGAATACAGATAGCGGAAGATGCTTTACACAATCACAGTAAAGTGTTAAGAAACTTTATAATTTCAAGGATGCTGAGAATATCATGACGTGTGCGAAACGACGAAATTTTAAGGAAAATGGAAACAAAATGTAAACTTCTACTTGCAATCAGAAAAAAAGTAAATTGACATTTCTAGGGCGCATAATGAGGAAAGAGGGCTTAGAAATTTTGACACTCACGGGACATATTGAAAGCAAGAGGAACATAAAAATGGCTTGTGTAAATGATTGACAGAGGAGAGATTAGGAGGAACAGCTAAAAGAAATCATACTAGAAGCTACAAAGGCTAGGAAGTTGTGGAGAGATGTATTCTCCCACTTCCTGAAGGGACATATCACATGGAAGAAGAAAAAGAAATGGTATAAAGAAGTAAAATCTCTTAAGGATACTATCTATCTATCTATCTATCTATCTATCTATCTATCTATCACAATCCATACATTATCTATCTATCTATCTATCTATCTATCTATCTATCTATCTATCTACGTGGCAATTTGTTTAGAATACGCCGATTGAATTCTGTACAGAGGGGTAAGAGACCCTGCCTCATAAAGAGCCCACATTCCGAGTGGATGGATACAGACTCGGGTATAAACCTGACATATGTCCACCTTTTTATCGAGCGCAAACAGGACGTCTGTATAAATTTTGACCTTCTAGACTTCAAGAAGGATAACTCCATATGAGGAGGATTGTTTTAGCGACATCCTGGCGCACTGTGCAACATTTGTCTATTAGAATTATTATCAAGGTTGTTGTTGAAATAACTTCAAGGGTGACAAACAATATGGTTTTCGCTCATCTAGATCCACTGCTGATGTTTTGTCATTACCAAAAGAATCAGTGAAACGCTTGATGATAGTTTGGTCACTGGAGACATTGCCTTGGATATCTCAGAGGCTATAGCATCTCTGGAAAAAGTTCTTTCCCACAGGCATATCCAGAAAAATTGCCAATTTTCTGAAGCTCATATGATCAACGCAGACGTTCTTCGGGGCTCTCTCTTTGGCCCTAACCTTTTTACTAAGAATGTGCCTAGGGACTTTCGCAGATCCTTAGCAAACAGCTATGCCAATGATACCAATTCGTGGAAGCCTTTCTAAAAATGAAGATAATCCGATCCTTGAAACTGATCTCTCTTCAAACCTACTTGAAGAGGTATTTAACTAGATGGTAACAATATCACAAAACCGAAGCTGGTATCAGTTCATTATGGCCAATCAGATCCTGAGATCTCTCCAATCACCATAAATTGCGTCAATTCTAACAATTCTACCATGCTTTATCTCTACAATAGAAAAATGGAGTATAACTGCTATATCTGGAAAAAGAGTTATTTCGGATTATTCTAACGCTTCATCAAATACCCGACTCCGCCTGTCATGCTTTATCTTTACAAGAGACAGATTAGACCAAAAATGAAATATTGTTACTATATCTGGGCTGTTTCGAATCATTCTGTCGTTCCAGAAACTACCTGACTCCTCCTGCCATGCATTGTCTTTACAAAAGTCAGATTAGTCCCAAAATTGACATTTTGCTGCTTTATCTGGGATGGAGCTGGCTTAACTCATTTTATCGCTCCAGAAAATACCTGACTCTTCCTGTTTTCCTTTATCTTTACAACAGTCAGGTTAGACCAACAATGGGGTATTGCGCCTATATCTGTGATGGAGGAGCTCGACTCACTCTATCGCTCCAGAAAGTATCTGACTCCTTCTGCCATGCATTATCTTTACAAGAGTCAGATCAGTCCAAAAAGGACTATTTTGCTGCTTTATCTTTAGGTTCGACTCATTCTATCGCTCCAGAAAGTATCCGACTGCTTCTGCCATGCTTTCTCTTTTCAAGAGTCAGGTTAGTCCAAAAAGAGATATTTTGCTGCTATATCTGTGATGGAGCTGTTTCGGTTCATTCTAGCGACCTAGAAAGTTCGTAACTCCTTGTGCTATGGTTAATATTTACAACAATCCGATTAGACCAAAAATGGTGTATTGCTTCCATATATGTGCCGGGGCCATTTTGACCCAGTCTTTCGCTCTAGAAAAATATCTGACTCCTTTTACCACGCATTATCTTTACAAGAGTTAGATTAGTCCAAAAAGGACTATTTTGCAGATAAGGGTGGTGAGGGGGCAGGTTCGACTCATTCTATCGCTCCAGAAAGTTCTTGACTCCTTCTGCTATGATTTATCGCCATGAGAGTCAGATTAGATCAAAAATGGAGCATTGCTGGTATATCTGGGATGGAGCTGTTTCACCTCATTCTATCGCGCCAAAAAGTACCTGACTCCTCTTGCCATGCTTTATCTTTACAAGATATCAGATTAGACCGAAAATTGTGTACTGCTGCTATATCTGAGATGGAGTTGTTTCGGCTCATTCTATCGTTCCAGAAAGTACCTGAATCCCACTGCTATGATGTATCTTTACAAGAGTCAGATTAGACCAAAAATGAAGTATTTCTGCTATATTTAGGATGGAGCTGTTTTGGCTCAGTCTATTACCGCAGAATGTACCTGTTCCCTCTTTATCTTTACAAGAGTCAGATTAGTCCAAAAAGGACATTTTGCTGCTTCATCTGGGATGGAGCAGGTTTGACTCATTCTATCGATCCAGAAAGTTCTTGACTCCTTCTCTCATGATTTATCTCCATGAGAGTCAGATTAGATCAAAAATAGAGTATTCCTGCTATATCTGGGTTGGAGCTGTTTCAGCCCATTCTATCGCTCCAGAGAGTACCTGACTCCTCCTCACATGATTTGTCTTTGACAAGTGTCAGCCTAGACTTAAAATGGGGTACTCCTGCTATATCTGGGCTGGAGCTGTCTGATACTTCTTTTCCCCAAGAAAGGTTACTTTCTGGAACCGACACACACGTGTGTGCTTCCCTGAATACTACAATTTTACTTTGAAGTCAGGAGTTAAACATTATCTTATCATCCTCTTCCTCATAATCTTCATTTTCCACAGCTTCCTCTTGTATTGATATCACACCAATCATTCAATAACCCTCGTCTTTGAGTGGCTCTCGTGCTTAGGTAAACTTTATTTAAAAAAAAAAAAAAGATTATTCCGAAAACGTTGTTGGTCTTTCGCAAGCCTTCTCCAATAGGGACTAGTCTAGAGTTTAAGTTTTAAACTGAACACTTGCGTTGTCATACGCGGACATCGTGAAAGACATTTTTCAGACAAATCACATGTTTATTGCCGGAATCAATGTTATATATAAAAAGACGGAAAATGTGGAAGTGCAGTTAGAAACGCAACAAACGTCAATTTACAGTTTGTATCAAAACGTTAAAGATACAGAGACGCTCAGTATTTGAATTAACGGGCGTCACTTGTATTTCTTACCTTTACCATCCCAGCTTTTTATATATGATAAAGTTAATAATATCAATAAAGTTGTCTGAGTAAGTTCTTTCTTGGAACGAAACGCGTCACTAATAATTTTTTTCATTCATTTGTTCAGTATTTTATACACAATCATTAATTCTGATGTTCTTAAAGAATTTACAGAATCGAACAGCTTCTTTTCTTGATTAATCCAGAGGTTGAACTTTGGAAAATAAGTCATCACCCACAAGGACGCGGAGAGGTTTTTGGGCTCTATTGAAACTGGAAATTGAGGACTGGGCATTTCCTGCCCATATTTGTGTTCGTGATTTGATCATTTTTTTTTTTAAATTTCATCGCAGTTAAAGAATATTTTTTCTTTTTCTTTTCTATCTTTTCTTGCAGTATCTCTCCCTTCTTCTCTTCTTTCTTTTTTTCTTCTTTTTACACTTCATCATTTTGGCCTTTCTTCTTTCTTCTACCTTTTTTTTTTTTTACCAATTTTTCATCCTCAATACTCGTCACGAAATCTTTCACGTTTTCTTTTTATCACTCTTCATTTCCACCTCTTCTTCACATTTTCTCTTAGTGTCTTTTACTCTTTCCTTTTTTTTTTATCGAACTTTTCGATTTTCATTCTCATAACTTATATTATTCATTATCTTCCTCCTTTTCTTCTCGTTTCTTTTTTTCAAATTTATTTCTCTGAATATCCCATAATTTTTATTGCGTTTCTCAATTTTCTCATTTTCCAACTTTTTCTTTCTCTCTATCTGCCTCTGCGCTTTTTACCTCCCTCGACGTTGACCATCGTTTGACCAATTTGTTACCGGCTTCGTAGTTACAGCCGTAAACATCTTTCCTCTTACAACATCCGTCTCTCTCCTTCTCAACAAAAACCCAATTTCCTGTTTCTCCTCTAGTCTGCGACCATTAGATAAGCTGTCGACATAAATTCTAATGGCGTTGACGTTAATGGCGTCAAAGGTGGAGGTGTTTACGCGAATACACTCGATTGTGCGACAAAAATCTCCTTTCTTAACACAAATTATTCCACGCCAATTTAACTAACGTAAAACCGCAGCTAAAGACCATCGCAAAATCTGTTGCCAGTAGTTTGATTATCCACAAAAATCACACACCTGATTCCGAAGAATATTTTTCTTATTGTGCTTTTACATATTCTTTTATAGAAATTAATGGAATTTTTTTAATCCAACCATATTTTTATTTACTATAAACGAACGTTATTGGACATTGTTTTACAAAGGTGGCCTAATTGGTAAAGCTCATTGGGCTTAATAGTGGTTTCCCTGAATGAAAATTGGGATACAGTTTCGTTTCTTATCGGGAGGCACACTTTCTTTAGTAAGACTTCTCGATTTCTAGGCCGAGTGACATTAATTTCACTATATAAAATAACAGTCATATCTACTGAAACAGACAAATCCCAAAAATCCGAACAAAATCATCGAATTAGACATCTCTCAATTAGACATCCTCGAATTAGAATTCCTCAAATTAGAATTACGCGAATTAGAATTCCTCTAATTAGACTCCCTGAAATTAGAATTCCCTGAATTAGACTTCCTCGAATTAAAATTCTTCAAATTAGAATTCCTCGAATTAGAATTTCTGGAATTAGACTTCCTCTAATTAGAATTCCTCGAATTAGACTTCCTCTAATTAGAATTCCTCGAATTAGAATTCCTCGAATTAAACTTCCTCTAATTAGAATTCCTCGAAATAGAATTCCTCGAATTAGAATTCCTCGAATTAGAATTCCTCGAATTAGAATTCCTCGAATTAGAATTCCTCGAATTAGACTTCTAGAATACTGCGGGAAAAAAATCTGCTTCGTCAGTCATGTATCGAAAGATACATGATCGCCTAATCGTGTATCACGCATGAAACATAACTGACTGATGATCTCACGTGAACTTAAAGTAAATGTGTATTCTTCCATCAAAGAACGATTCTAGCTTTTATTCAATGAGGTTTTCCTTACAGGGAATTTCATCTCGATCTCCCCCATGTCATGACGAGAATTATATAAGCGAATGTTATTTTAAGAGTAACTAGTAAATTAAGTCCTTCTTGCAGAATATGTTGATTCACTGCTTAGCATAGTAAATACCTTCATAAACTTTGGATTGAATAATATTTATATTAATATTGAATAATCTTTATATTAATATTGGATAATATTTAATGGAATAACATCGATAAAAAAAGATTTTATTCAATTATTTGTGCTTTCTTATACTATTATTCACAAATCCCAAGAGCGTTAAAGGAGAAGGTTGTTGTAAGGTTAAGAAAGAAGAAGAGCAAATTATGAAGATAACGATTGTTCATAAGAACTGAAGTTTAAATCTTAGCGTAAAGGGTAGCGTAGAGGAGGCACGGTGGAGTAATGGATAGCGGCTTGGATTGAGGAATCGAAGAGCCGAGTTCGAATTCCAATTGAATCCATTACATTCACTTACGTGCTAACACCTTTGGGAAAGGTGAGAATCCTCTTTCTTCTCCCTCTATATGGGTAAATAGGAGGACAGACTGGGTTCTATAGCCTTGGATGGCAACTGGTCTATGTGAAGGAAAACTCTGAATTCAAACCTGCTCTTAGAGGAGGGTGAATGGAGTCTCTCTGAGCCTTGGTTGGCAATCCATTTAGTGTTGGTGTCACGATAAAAACAGCCTTGATAGCCCTAGAGAAGCATCAAGAATTCAAGTATTTGACAAGATTATGAACTACACCAGTCAAAGTATTGGTGAGTTCAATCTCGGCTGAGGCCGCAAGAGAAAGGGATGCATCCTGTGGTAACAGTTCTAGGAAGAGATTATGCTAGTGGAACTTTCTCCTTACCAGTGGAATACGGAGATGGGTAAACCCTGTGTAGATGCCATAGGGAGTCCTAGCTGTGAAGTTCTGAATTTGTGGATCTTATGAATTTAGCTCGTCTTAATATTTTCTATGAAAATAGCGATAGTTTACCAAGAGTTTCGCAATGTTTCGTCCGTGGGAAAAATGATTGTAGGGTAGGAAATAATCACTTGAAAAGCTACGTAAACGCTTTCAAATTCTGACACGTCTGAAAAGTCTACATTTAGTAATCATTATCATAATGTACATTTACATTTATAATGCAATGGAATAATTCGTTCCAAGTTTAAGGAATGAGTTAAGCTGTTCACTGCTCGAAAATCATGTACGCCCATTGCAGTCAATTTTTGATATCTGGTAGGAGTGGCCATTCGTTACAAGTAATGCTACAAGAGAAATCATCATTATCATCATCAACCCCATAACTGGCTGTGGTCGTAATGCCACTGCGTTACTGAGCACCTGGCCAGCTCCCTATACATATCTGGGTCGGAGGCATGAGATGTATTTACTGACGGGTAGCAAGTAAATCTGGCAGAGCCCATTCCACCTCAGGTTAAACCACTGCAGATGTCTTTCAACAAAGGTTTCGCCTTGGTCACGGATACGTGACTGTTGATTCCATGTTTATGTTTGTGTGTTGGGGGTGGATAACCTTCTAATCTGGCCGCTGACCAGGACTAGGTAACTCTCTCCCACCACCAATCCTTTGTCATCAATGCACTAATTGCATACATAGCTATGGATTCTGATCTATCCCATTGTGCATGATCAACTGCTTGTTGATCCTACAAGAAGGTTTATCTACCCTCGGAAAGATCGTTTTTTTTTTAAATCCTGTTAGGTGTATAGCCACTCTCTTCACGAGAAAAGACTGCAGGTTAATCGATGCCGTGTGCATGTGGCAGGCTGAATTAAGTTACATGGTAATATCATTACTCGTAGAGTGGCCTGATATAAACAGGGGGTATAAAGCAGATTGGTAATCTGAAAGTGATTGGTTAGGAGGATAGGATCCATATAAACGTATCATCCGCAGCTCAACGACCATTTTCTGTGTCGTATTTTAAACGATGCCTCAAATCAACAATCGACTTCGTTCTCTAGAAAGAAAATATGTCCTGTTTAAAATCTGCCATTTTGTGACGCATTTTATGTCCCATTTGGAAATGTGTCTTTTTAAGAGACTCGTTTAAAGCCGTTTACTGACTGTAGCTTTGCCGGGGAAATCATTGTCCATAACTCAGCAATTCGTAGAAAAGTATCATCGTCGAATCCCAAGAAACGCAACTGAGGACCATTTTCCTGAAAGATGCCATTCTGAGTGAGATGTGCAGGTCATTCTTCAATCTACCTCCGTTTTTGGAATCTTGTAAACAAACCGTTTTTAATAACCAGTAATTATCTTGTCCAAATTACGATTTTTCCTGTTACGATTAAAAATAAGAAAAAAGATTTTGGTTGCTATTGATTTCCGTAAGTTTATGTGGATGCCCTTACTAAGTCAGTTCTAAAAATTTCCTAATATATGTCAAAAGATATCGCTGGTAACTTCGAATAAAATATAGATAAATTGAGAGCAAAATAAACAAATAAATAAATAAATGAAGCCAAAATTGCGTACGAAATGAATAAAAAATACAAAAGAAAGAAATATATTTGAAATGAACTGACTGATAAAAAATTATTCAATAAAATGTCAAATGATAAAAAGATAAAAAGAAAACAAAAGGAGGCGTAAAAGAAAGTCAGGAATGAATTTTCATATGGGAAAAGTAGGAAAGCAGACGATAACAACGAAAGCATGGCGCGAAAGAAAAAGAACAAACCCGAAAAAACAAAACTTAGAGGACAAGAGAAACGTGGAGATCGAATAAGAAGAAAAACGAAAAAGCAGAAAAATTTTAAGAGAGGAGAAACATAAAAGCCTAAAGCTGATATCAACGTAGTCGATTATTTTACAGTGTGAGTTTATATCTGGACTAGCCATTTTCTTGACTGTCCATGAACATTAGAGAAACAAACGTTTAGGACCAGCGGCCATAAGAGAAAAAGTAACTAACGCCCCAATGCGGCAAAATGCCACTTGTGATATTGATTTTTACGAAAGTAGGTGGAATATACAAATGATTTTAGTCGGTTTTCTCTCTTAATACAAGACCCAACGTCATCCATGACGCCCGTCCTTACACAACCGATTTCTGCAAGAAAGATTCCGTAAGGAGTGACAGCAACTATACCACTGTCTAGTTCTGCACAATTTAAAACTATCGAAATAGAAATGATCTTAGTTTGCTAGATGTTATGGCTGATCTATCTCGGTGAGTTTCTTTATCTATCTATCTATCTATCTATCTATCTATCTATCTATATATATATATATATATATATATATATATATATATATTATAAATGTATTGAGTCCTACAGTTACTTAATATATTTTCTGTTTAATATTTTTCTGTTTACACGTTATCTAAAAATAACGTATAAACATAATATATATATATATATATATATATATATATATATATATATATATATATATATATATATATACATATGCATTTATCCTTTATCTGTTGCACGAATCAGGAGTCTCATGCACAGTACAATATTATTTCTCATATATATATATATATATTTATATACATAGATCCCACGTCCCACGCTGTTCATATCTCTCTCTCTTTCTCTCTCTCTCTCTCTCTCTCTATATATATATATATATATATATATATATATATGAAATGTATTAAGTCCTCCAGTTACTTAATATATTTTCTGTTTAATATTTTCTGTTTACGTTATCTAAAAATAACGTATAAACATAATATATATATATATTATTTCTCATATATATATATATATATATATTTATATACATAGATCCCACATCCCACGCTGTTCATTCATGTCTCTCTCTCTTTC